CGTGTGTGTGCGCGTGTGTGTGCGTGTGTGTGTGCATGCGTGTGTGTGTGTGCGTGTGCGTGTGTGTGTGTGTTGAGTCTGTTGTGTGTATCGCAGAGGTGTTAGTGTTGATAAGGCCCCTTTGAAATGAAGGGTTTTGCGTGAGGCGAGTGCAGGTTGCAGCAGTATATGAGTGCTCTGCCGCTGCGGTCGGGATAATCCATTTGGTCGATGTGTCGAGAAGCGGTCATGTTTTATGTGAACTGGATGGCTGGAGGCTAAGCGAGAGGTTTGGCTGGAGTTCTGAGACCAGACCTGCTCACAAAGGTGCTTGACTGTCTGAACGTGAATGGCTATTGAAATATTGAGGGGGAATACCGGCTTTTATGTGTCGTCTGACTGGAAATCACTTTTCCATTATCTTGCTTTTGTCTTCCCTCGTTTGAAGCACAGCTCCATTTGAGGATCTTTTGTGGGCCAGAATTCAAAGCAAACACATTATGGGACATTCCTGTAATACAGTACATTGCGTTTATGTCTTAATATATTGTCTAAAATATTAAACTGACAACTTTGACTGAAGACGGAAATCGTATTCGGTTTCTTTATCATGGTATCATAATTAAATCGGTGTTGTTGTTTTTAACTAAAACTTAAAAATATCGATAACACTTTAAATAACATATATTGACTAATAACTAGTTGCTTATTAACATACATAATACTAGTATATTGGCTGTTTATTAGTACTTATAAAGCACATACTACAACAACTACCTACTTACTATCAATAAGCAGCAAATTAGGAGTTTATTGAGGGAAAAACTCTTAATAGTTAATAGTGAAAATGTGTTCCCTAATCGTTTTCGGTAATCGTAATAGAGCTGAAAGTAAATACAAATTTAAATTAAAAATGTAAATGAAAATTAGAAATGGGGCATTGGCAACTAACCGAAAGAAGAAAAAAAAAGTTTAAGTTGACATAATAAAACTACTACTATTACTAAATACATAAATAAAAGGTAAATATACATATGCAAAATAATAAAAATGTCAAGTAATATAAAATGTGATTGTTAAATTGCTAATTTTTGCCATTGTGTTTAGTAATCAAGTTATAATAAGTCAATTTTTACAGAAATACCTTCTTAAATTACAACACACACACATGTAAATGTTATTCTTTAAGTTACAGAGACAAAAGGCTCTGGATAACAGAAATGAAATGCTTCTGGCTGTGTAGCATTGGTCAATCAGTTTCTTATTTTCATTACTGAATGCTTTGAGAATCAAAGCAATGTTAAACACCATGAAAACTTCAACCCGCTAGTGACCTATAAATCGATATTAGAATAGAGAAGAGTCGCTCCAGCTTACATACCCACAGCGCTGCAACGCAATAGCAGGCGCAGGTGCTGCAGGTGCCGTCAGCAATAAGACATTTATTTTCACTTTGCCCAATCCATTATCCTAAACTCTCAGGCCTTTCTCGAAAACCTTTACGCACAGCCGCTGCATTCTAATTTAGGGAGAAATATTTAACATAATATTGCATCTCTGTCACAAAAGCACAGCAGATGCGGTTACGAGGCGTACAGAAACAGTCTTAAGGTGCTAATTTATTTCACTAGGCCTGTGAGGCTACAGTATTTCCCCCCTGAAGAGACGACTTCAACATCTGCTCAGCTCATTAAGTTACTCTCAAATCAACAGAGGAATTATGCTCTTTAAAACACTATTAATTATGACAAGCAAAATTATCATTTTTGCAGCACAAGGCGAGCTGCCACGCATAGTCAACAAAGCTTGTGTGCGGAACGCTAGCTCGCTAATGCGAATCTTTACAAAGATGTCGATGACATAAATTCTGTTTTTACTTCACAAGTGGAGGGATTTTTTAGAACTGGGAGCAGTTTGTACAGGTTGATCAAATGCTCGCTAATTTCTAGCGTTTTTGAGCGGGATTTCAAAACAAACTGAATAGTTTGCAGGTGCGCGTGATTAGCGCGTAGCATTGGCGTGCCTCTCAAGTGCTTTCCCTGATAAATGTCGACAGACGCATGAGTGGAGGCATTTGTGGAGCTCTTTTTGTTGAATTATTTTGTGAGCCTGGACTATTTTCTCATTGACAGCTGAGTGCATGACGCATCGGTCTGAAAAGAGTTGTGACACTAAGTATTCTCAAAGCCTCTCAGCAAAGCTCTTCTGGCACGCAGCTGTGAGCACTTGTGCTTTACTAAACTCAGCACTTCCGTCACTGGATCGCTTGGGTCTCTGCAGATGGTGACCTGATCGATCTTAGGGAGTAACTATTGTAACTAATAGTAGCAGCGCAACTAACTTTCAATTGGTTGACAGACTTTTTTTTAAATGGTGTAGCCTTCCATTAACACGTTAATTTTTGCAACCAGTAGCATCATGTTATATTGCGCAATGCGCATACAGCTAAGCGAGCTAATATCAAAACATGCTTGCTTAACATGTACAGCTTCTCACATACAATGTTACAATGTGCCTCTACCTACGTTTCTGCAAAAAAAACAACCTATATGTACAAATTGCTGCAGTTTCCAGTTGAAATGAACACTAGAGGCAGTAAAACTTTCACACAAAAAATCACACAAATTATGATTTACAGGGCTAGAGTTTTAATTAAGAAAGCTTCATTTTCACACAGTTCCTTGCACAATATTATGTTATGACTTCAGAACTATTATAACATGCTGTGAGATTTGAAAACTGATACTTTTGGACGTTCGAGTCACATATACAGCTATGTATGGGTTTGCTCGGTAGCTCACGTGATATAGCGTCGCACTTGTGAGGTGAAGATACGAATCCTATGAAACTATGGTTTAACTAAACAGCTCAAACCAGCATAGAAGGAAGTTAAAAGAGCATGGTTGCATCAGTGAATGGGTTTTTACACTTTTTGCACTCGTTAACACTATCGGGTAGGTTTAGGGTTGGTTTGGTGTAGAGGGTTCGTTATTTTCCAACACGATAGAGCATTAAACTTTTAGCAACACTCACCGGACATTTGAATTCTGAACAACCGCAATATGTTCCTAAAGCAACATAATAAAAGCGGCGCAATACGTGTCTGTACCAACGTAATAAAAAAGTCCCACTGTCACATATTGAACACGCATTTTAGCGCCACTCACTGGACTTTTTACTTTGAAACTGTCGCAAAACGTGCAATAAGGTACGTAATATCAGTGTTATGTCGCCACAAGCACGTATTTCCAATGAGCCTGGGTTGGTAGTTTGACTACTTTAAATTGTTGGTAACACTTTATTTTAGGGTCTCTTAACTAGTTGCTTATTAGCCTGCATATTACTAGAATATTAGCCATTTATTAGTGATAATTAAGCACATATTAATGCCTTTTTCTACATTACCTTATTCTACACCCCTAATCCTACCCAATACCTAAACTTAACAACTACCTTACTAACTATTAATAAGCAGCAAATTAGGAGTTTATTGAGAGAAAAGTCGTAGTTAATAGTGAATAAGTGTTGCCTATTCTAAAGTGTTACCAAATTTTATACAAAC